ATAGACTGACAGGGCAAACCTGATTGCCCAAATGGAAGCCTCTCCCATCCCTGTTTGCAAAGACATTGAGAGGTTTTTTGACAATTCCCATCAGCCTGGGGGGGGGGCTCCCTTTGGGCAGCCAGTTGATTGGTAGGTGTACAGACTGACAGGGCAAACCTGATTGCCCAGAGGGAAGCCCCCCCATCCCTGTTAGCAAAGACATTGAGAGGTTTTTTGACAATTCCCATCAGCTCTAACCAGCACATCAAAAGGTAAAGGATGATAGGAATTGGAGTCCAACAACCTATGGAAGGTAACATTCCATATTTGTTGCAGGTTACGCATGGATTATGCAATGTAATGTGTCTGTGACAAGAGAAAATACTGTATATCCTGCCCTGTGTGAATGGGGATAGTTTTGGAGACAGCTCTTTGAGCCAGATTTCATAGCAACTGCTTTTTTCCAAAAATCAGGAGAGCAACTCCTTGTCTGTATCCCACTTTTCCCATCATACAAGAATGTGTATACAATGGGTTTAAAATAAAACATTAGACACTTTCTCACTGATTTCCTATTCACATGCTGATTAATACACTTGCATAACTGCAGGAGAAAAGTCCTAGAACAGCTCTTTGTCATGGACCCTCCTGTGGAGTGTGACCACGTCAGTATACCATTGAATGCAATTCTTTATTAGCAGGCCATTGCTGCTAAGCAACAACATTGGAAAAGTTGGGGAAAATAGATTCTTTTCTTTATACACCAAAATTAACTCTTAGAGGTCTATTTCTTATATATACACTTCTCCCTTGAATTGCATGAGTATGAGCAGTGTAGTTTTAGTTATACAGTGGTGCCTCGCATAGGGAGGTTAATCCATTCTGGATTAACCCTCGCTATGTGAAAACATCGCTGAACGGATCAAGAAAAATAAGCCAAAAACTCACCGTTCAGTGATGTTTTCCTATGGCTGGCAGCCATTTTCGCGCCTTCCCCTCGCTTACTGAGGGCGCGAAAACGCTGCGCGCGGCCATTTCGGGGCTTCCAGTGGCCATTTTGGAGCCACCGAACAGCTGATCCGCGGGTCACAAAGCGAAGGTCGGTAAGCGAAACGCTTATCGACTTTCGCTATGCGAGTTTCGCCCATTGGGGCCATCGCTTTGCGATAGCAGTTGCGATCGAAAAAGCCCCCTCGCTATGCGGATTCGTCGTTCCATGGTGCGCTCGTTAAGCGAGGCACCACTGTACATGGATCCCCCCACAATATATAAATATTCAGTAAATGCTATATCCCTGGCCATCCAGAATCCCATGAGTTCAACACAGTCCAAAAACACCTGGGTTACCAAAGGTTGGGAACCACTGGGAAAAGTTTGAATTGGCCTGTTAGCAGGGACTTCTATGTTATGCCAGGGCTTCAGTCACCATAGTTACATATAAATTAGGAAAAGGCTGGATGGTCTCTGAAACAATACAAATGCAGGAACAGGTGATACCTTTACTGGACCATTAAAAATATGACAAAACAAGAAAACAAAAAATAAACAGTGACCTTTTGATTAAAATTCATGTTCCTCAGGCTGTGCACCAAGTTCTTGTGGGTAGTTCCAAAATGATATGTTTATATTAAAGTTTAAAAGTCTCATGGCCACTGTTGGCAGCTAGGTATAGCTTCTTAGAGGGGGTTAGTTATAGTCTGCAGTCTGCATACACTTGTGGGAGGGGAGGGTGTGGCTTCAGTCCCATCCTCAGCCACTTGTTTGAAATTTATCGCCTATCTCTCTCATCAAAAGTTGGCCAAACACTGTGACCCCACCCCTCCTTTCCCTCTTTCCCCCTTCTTTAGAGTTTCTATTTGGCTGTGGGGGGGGGGAAAGCAGGGTTTGCTTTCAAGAGATTTTGAATTTACAATATATAGTTATGGCTGATGAGAGGTTTCTATGTAACCTTTCTCATAGAAACAAAGTGTAGAGATTGCCTCTACTGATGTTATAGTTCCTCCTCTACTACCAGTACCTTAAATAATGGATGTTATTCACTTTTTTTATTTCTGTCTCTGAGTTCTGCTATCCTCTGAAAGGCTGAGGTACTTGGGCCTATTGCCCAACTGGACAATGTACAGTGGCAATCATAAGGCGAGAACTGTGGTAGTCTAAATACTCTTCAACATTGAGTAGGGCTAGCTTTTATTGGAATATGCATGACCCTAGCATGTTTTTCCTATGGGAAAACTTTGAGAGTATGCCAGCTACTACTAGGAGGAGCATATTGGTGAGTAACACTTCCTAGTGTGCGGGACTATCTCTTCAAGATTTTTTTAATGGCACTTCTCTCTCTTTGGGCGTGAGTGTGGTTCCTTAGAGATCCACCTATTTGGAGGATGTTGGCAAATCCAGATACAGTCCTATCCATTGTTACATAGGGCAGAATCCTCTTTGTTTCAAACATGTTCAAGCACTTATGCAAGGAGAATCACTATTCCCTTGAGCCCACACAAGCTTTAAATAGGACAATTTCTGAATTGTATAATTGGAGGAGAGGGTTGTGGACAACAGTGAGACCCAGGTCAGTGAGATGAGATTCTAAGAGCTGGAGATTTCCTGAACTGTTATGCCTTGAGAATGTTACCGTTCACAGTTCCCAAGAGGATGATTTTTATCACTCTGTCTATGATGTGTGGACCACAGCAAACTATGGCAAGCCTTAAAGAAATGGGAGTGCCTGACCACCTTATCTATCTCCTGAGAAACCTATATGTGGGACAGGAAGCAACAGTTAGAACTGGATATGGAACAACTGATTGGTTCAAAATTGGGAAAGGAGTACGACAAGGCTGTATATTGTCCCCCAGCTTATTTAACTTATATGCAGAATACATCATGCGGAAGGCTGGACTGGAGGAAACCCAAGCCGGAATTAAGATTGCCGGAAGAAATATCAACAACCTCCGATATGCAGATGATACCACTCTGATGGCAGAAAGTGAGGAGGAATTAAAGAACCTTGTAATGAGAGTGAAAGAGGAGAGTGCAAAAAACGGTCTGAAACTCAACATCAAAAAAACTAAGATCATGGCCACTGGTCCCCTCACCTCCTGGGAAATAGAAGGGGAAGATATGGAGGCAGTGTCAAATTTTATTTTCCTGGGCTCCATGATCACTGCAGGTGGAGACAGCAGCCCTGAAATTAAAAGACGCCTTCTTCTTGGGAGGAAAGGGATGACAAATCTTGACAGCATCTTGAAAAGCAGAGACATCACCTTGCCAACAAAAGTCCGAATAGTCATAGCTATGGTTTTTCCTGTCGTGATGTATGGAAGTGAGAGCTGGACCATAAAGAAAGCAGACCGCCGAAGAATTGATGCCTTTGAATTGTGGTGCTGGAGGAGACTCTTGAGAATCCCCTGGACTGCAAGGAGAACAAACCTATCAATTCTAAAGGAAATCAACCCTGAGTGCTCACTGGAAGGACAGATCCTGAAGCTGAGGCTCCAGTACTTTGGCCATCTCATGAGAAGAGAAGACTCCTTGGAAAAGACCTTGATGTTAGAAAAGTGTGACGGCAAGAGGAGAAGGGGACGACAGAGGATGAGATGGCTGGACAGTGTCTGCGAAGCAACCAACATGAATTTAACACAACTCCGGGAAGCAGTGGAAGATAGGAGGGTCTGGCGTGCTCTGGTCCATGGGGTCATGAAGAGTCAGACACGACGAAACGACTAAACGAATGAACTATGATTTTTATCACTCTGGCCCAGTTGATCCATATTTGGAAGACGAAAGCTTCATTAAGTTTATTAGGCTTAGGGCTCGGTTCCATGTGGAAGTGTTTTTTTTTGTTAGAAAGTAAGTTATTTTATTCTGCCATCAGAGTGTTGTTTATTTTAAATAATTTGTGCAATTCGTTTTGAATTGTTTTGGCATATGTGAACACTTCTGTTGGTGTACATTGTGTCTGTGGGGTTTGTCAAATAATGGATGCCCAGAGCATGGGTTTTGGGCTGCAGGAATACCTTGCAGTCCAATTGGAAAGGAGAGCCAACAGATAAAGAAAGGTGTCTGTCTATTTCCTTCACAACCCCAGAAGCTATCTATTTTGATGGTTTCTCTTGTCACTCACTGGTGTGCTTTCCCTTTCACCAGCCTCAGCTTCTGGTTCCATCATTCCCTATCCTTCTCCACATGGTGTCTGTCTGTCTGCATGCATGGATGCATGCATGCATGCATGCATGCATGCATGCATGTGTGTTTGACTGCAAGGAAAGCTTGGAATCCAACTCTTTAAATTTTTTTCCTATCTGTCATGCTGAACTAGCGTTAGTTAGATGATTTAAAAATGTTAAAAATAACAGCAGCAGTTAGTGGCTGTGAGAGGCAGGAACAGAAAAAAAGCCTCAAATACAGTGATTCTAAAAGCCCACATAGCCCTTTAACTGATATACAATACTCTTTAAAAATGGATTAAAAGTTTTCCCCAAAACACACACACACCAACCCCTAAACTACATGACTTTGAACTGACTTCAAAACTTCCAATCCATCTCCTGGTTAATTTTCACAGTGTAACTGCACCCTTAGTGAAAAGTAAGCAATACTCCCCTCTCAGAATTAAAGGGTATATGTTTACGTGGGTTAAGAGTTAAGCTACAAGAAAGGTATGTCACTGTGAGGAGGTGGACTGATCTGTAACCTAAATGTTCTTATTTGGGGGGCAAGACGTTTCAACATAACGTTTTGCTCCTACATTATACTGTTCGCCTGTACCACAATATTGTACATAAAACTGAAAATAAGTATGCAACAATAAACTCAGTTGACTACAATAGAGGCTAAATTACTCCTGTTATCATGGGCAATATAAGATAATACACTACACATTTGATACAAGAGAGGATAAGAAAGCATTGGTATTTTATAGCACAAAAGTATCTATACTTCATTTTGACAGACCCACAAAGGCTTAAACAGGAATATATAGTATGGATTCCCAATTAATAAATATAAATTACATAATTTACCTGCATCATCTGCATCAGGCTTACTATAGATGGAAGCCAGGATAAATAGGGTGAAGATGACAAAAGCCAGCAAGATGAAAGCTACTTCAAGATTTGTGAAGGGCAGCGCCATGAAACATTACCTAAATAAAATGAAAACATTACTTGGTGTAGATCGTTTAGAACAAAAGGTTTGAATGAGTAAAATAGCTCACTTAGCTTTCTATTCAAGGATACTAGATCCTGGTCAAACAGGTTGAGTGACCTGTTCAGGAAAAGAAAGAAAGAAAGAAAGAAAAAAGCTACTTCAAGATTTGTGAAGGGCAGCGCCATGAAACATTACCTAAATAAAATGAAAACATTACTTGGTGTAGATCGTTTAGAACAAAAGGTTTGAATGAGTAAAATAGCTCACTTAGCTTTCTATTCAAGGATACTAGATCCTGGTCAAACAGGTTGAGTGACCTGTTCAGGAAAAGAAAGAAAGAAAGAAAGAAAAGAAAACACCCGAACAGGTTGAGTGACCTGTTCAGGAAAAAAGAAAGAAAGAAAAGAAAACACCCTGTTTATTTACCAAAGGAAGGATCTGGCTTATTCTAACAGCATGTTGTTCCTCAAGTAGGTTAAAATTTTGTGTGTGTGTGTGTGTGTGTGTGTGTGTGTGTGTGTGTACACACTTTAATTCAGATACAATTTTGTTAAAAACAAACTTGGGATATAGTTGTTCTAATACAATAGAAAGACTATTGTCTTTCACTACAATAACAAAAAAAGTTCTCGAAAGGGAAACAGTGGACCAATGAACTGGAGGTCTGGGGACTTTCTCGCATAAACTTCATGTTGTCCAATAGGACTAAAGTTAGTATCTGCTGCCTAAACATAGAGCAGAATGGAAATTGTGGAAGTGTGCCTCTCACCCTGATAGATTCCCCAGAATATGACCTGTTGCGTGACTGATCTCACAATTTGTGAGGGAACAAGGTACAGGGCTGGGAGCTTGCTGGAGTTAGGGGATGATTCTTATACAATTTCGTTTCTGCTCTATGTTTAAGCAACAGAATACTAGCCCAGGTATGCATAGCTTTGCAGTCTTAATTGTTCAAAACGCTTCCCACATCTCCTTATCTTTCCAAGTAAGGCTTGCCTGATTTCATATCAATAAACGTATGATTGACACATTTATTCCGTCTTCAGGAATACTTCGGCCCTAGCTGAATAGTAAAATGCCTCAACATGAGCATACTGCTTTAGTGAGAAGGCTGAATTTAAAATATAGACATTCCTGAAGAGCCATTATCTTATCAAGTGCCTAAATGAAAGGTATATCAAGTATTGCTTAATTTAATTTGAGATTCATGTCAGAGTGTGAGAGTACGCTGTTTCCAAGTTGCTCTGCTTCTATTGGGAATAGATGTATGCAATTTTCTCTCTCCTCCCAGGCCAAAAGGCATTTCAGTAAGCCTCGGCATAGTTATTTTTAAGACTGCGTCCTGAAACTGTGCCTTCAAAAGTCTGATGTGGAATTTTCTACCACTTGAAAGAAATACAGATTGCCTGTTTCCAATAACTGATATTCAATGGAAAAAAAAAGGGAAACAGTGAAAACAGAGTAGGATTCAGAGGACTGAATGTTGATCTCCCATTGAAGAATGAATGTATAATAGACACAATTCTAGCAAAATTAATGAGTAAGAGGGAATATGTGCCATTTCCCTTTCCATGATGCATTGTATAGCAGAGATGGATGGGGACCTGGGCTGGTCCAACCACACAGCAATGGTTAGGAAAGTATTTTGAGAAGAATGAAAATGTCATGCTGAACTCATCCTGAACAGAATAATAGAAAGATAATGATCAAATGTGGGAAAATACTTTAATCATGAGCCACAATGTGATATACATGCACACAATGTCTGTTGTCCCCTCTTGGTGTGTGACTTTTGAAATGTAACTTTGTTCCCTGTGATGACAAAAAGGTTATGCTTTGTAGTTATTTACTTGTAGCTATTTCTTGTAGTTATTTCCAAGCTCTTTTACAACTGATATCTGTGAAAGCACTGGCCCATTGTTGTGGCTGACTGAACAGCTTGAATGTCACTTATTGGCAGCTGCCCAGCTGATTTGTCCAGATAGTCAGGAGTCAGCATCAGCCAGGAAGTTACACCAGGAAGTCCTGAGAATCTCCTTTTGCTTAAGGCTACTTATTACAGAGGTTTAGTCAGCTAAGAGTCTGTTTTTTTTTTCATTTCATTTTAAAGCCTTCACTTGAACAAGTGCAAAAAAAAAAAAAAAACTGCAGAAAACCCACTGCTCCAGCACACACTGATGAGCAAAGCCCCCCACTTTTTGATAACTAAGGCATATTAAAGTCTCTCTTGGAAAATCTCAGCAAGTCTTTTTCTTTTCCCTTTTTTCTCCAGAGAGGGCAAGTAAAACTTATCTTGGCAAGATTTTTTTTACAACTTAGAAATGGCTTGCAAAGCTGGTTTTATGCACAGTGGTGTCTCGCTAGACGATGATAATTTAACTGAAACCGTTGTTTAGCGAAATCATTGTCTAGCGAAAAGCATTTCCTTATTGGAATGCATTGAAACCTGTTTAATGTGTTCCAATGGGGAAGAATCGTCGTTGTCTAGCGAAGATCGGCCATAGGAAAGCTGCTTTGCGAACCACCGATCAGCTGTTTAAATAGCTGTCTTGCGAAGCTTAGGTCCCCAAAACACCCATTTTGCGAGTGTGGAGGGAGCTGTCAAAATCGTTGCCTAGCGAAAATTGGTTTGCGAAGCAGGGACCAAACATTGTCCAGCGAAATTCCCCCATAGGAATCACTGTTTTGTGAATCGCTATAGCGATCGCAAAAAGTCAATGTCTAGCAAAAAAACCTGTCATGCGGGGTAACTGTCTAGCGAGGCACCACTGTACATTGAATTCGCATTTCCCTTGCTGTGTAGTCACACCCCAAGAAAAGCAAAATAGAACAAGAGAGTATAAATATACAAATGTGAGATGGTTCACAGCACCAGACAGCAGCAGGACAGCAACAAGAATCATTGGCAGACACTATCAACACAGAAGCAGGCAACACAGGGAAAACAGCAAAGGCAACATACTAGTAAGGCACAGAACCAGAACAGATAAGGAGACCATGGATTTTTCTATATAAAATCAGACTGGCTTGGGGTGGAAAAGCACAGTTCTATGTGTTTGTAATATGCTAAAAAGGCTAAGTAATATACTTATACTTTCATGTAGTTTTATTTTTATAAAATGTGGCAATATTAAGAGATGTGCTCTCTACTTTTTTTATTGTGCTTTTTAAAGGCTATAAGCTCCTGAATGTTAAAAATGTAATTAAAACATTCTGCTTGTTAGTTTTATTGTACTTTTTCTACCCTTGCATTTTGGATTGAGACATGACTTACGTATTTGCCTCCCATTTAAATGTAGTGTTCATATATTTTAAAGCATTAACACCTGCAATTTCTCATAAGTGTTTGCATGATTGGATTTTTATAAATGAAGTAGCATGCCTGCAATTTCCAGGTTACATTTTAAAAAACTTTTAACTTGGAAATAGCCTTGGCCATATACAACAATACATTTATCTCTGAATAATACCAACCATTCCTATGGTTCATTAATTCAAGCATTCTATCAAGCTTAAAACATAGCAGACGAATATTCCAGCTGACTTCAAAATGTCATCCTCTCCATTTAATTTGAAACCAGAAACAAAGTACACCATATTTTAATGAAAATATATATTTAAAATATCTCTTCTAACCAGTCTGACATGAGGTGTCAGTTTTCCTGTCATTGCTGTTCCCTATACCTTCTCCAAATATCTTTAGAAAGAGACTCCTTAAGCATTTTTTCCTAAGTTTTGGTAATTTCAGTTCTCTCATCTCCTACAAGGATCGCGACCCACACTTCCAGGTTACATGTTTTCAAATTTTAGAATTTATTTTTATGCATATTGTATGTAGAAGCAAGTAGGTGAATAAAGCTTGTAGAAATGGGCAAGCTCATGTTTCCTAGATTTAATTTTCTACCTGAGAAATGTGGAATGGATAAGATATAGATGCCTAGGAAAAGACTTACTTCACCATGACTTGTGCCCATCCTCTAAAGGGAGATGGAACATTTAAACAATGAAACTTGATACCTAGATTGATAAGGCTTTCTGATCTCACCCTGAAATATTAACCCTTTAGAGGGAATAAATGTCAACTGTGGCCAACCTCAGAGTCTCAAACTACCAAAGTGTTTAATGTTTTTAATCTTTGTTTTGTACATTTTAAATTTTTACTTTTTTATTTATTTAAATAGACCTTAAACACCTTAAATGGGCCAAAGGACTCCTCTTTAGCTGCCCAGAGTAAAGTTTTGCCACTAGATGGGTGGAGTATAAGTTCAATCGATCGATCGATCGATCGATCAATCAATCAATCAACCAATCAATCAATCAATAAGAGTGTCATGAAGTTTTATAGTGCTCTGAGGACTTCGTTCAAGTGTCATGCACTGACCTTGACAATGGATCAACACAATTAGTTAAGCAGGACATGTTGTTTAACAGAGATTGGTTGTTGTAGTTTAGTCGTTAAGTCGTGTATGACTCTTCGTGACCCCATGGACCAGAGCATGCCAGGCCCTCCTGTCTTTCACTACCTCCCGGAGTTTGATCAAATTCATGTTGGTAGCTTCGATGACACTGTCCAACCATCTTGTCCAGACATTGTTACCGATGTCTAATTGTCCCCGTTTACATGTTTATAGTGAGAAACCAGCCTCCTATTTCATCACTGCTGATGGTACTGTTAAGCACACTTTCTGCAGCAAATTAGCTCAGTATCCACTTGTATTGCTTTGGCCCCCTTACCATTTGCAGTCATGAATTAAATTTTCTCCAGTGATTCCTCTTTCCATCAGCAAAAACGAAAACATTCTCAGATCAATATTTTCATTATTGGAGACATGCTTGGTATTTATTTTATCTTCCTTCTTATTTAATACACAAGAGCTGCAAACAATGCATTTTTTTAAAAAAAACACCATGAGAAATAATCCTGTTAGTGAAGTTTTTGGGATTGTTTCCAAGAAGTATAGCAAGGATGCTGTACTAGTCAGAGAGTAAGAAAAGGACTGGCAAGACCTGAGTTAAGTTCCCACTGTTTTGAAGCTCACTGATATTAAATGAATCACTATGTCTGAGGTTAGCTTGCCCAACAAGATTATAGTGTATCTGTTTTTTCAAAAAAACTAAGGGTAGTTGTGGTTGGCTTTTGGCAGGCAAGCAGAAGGAGATCATAATGTCAATGCGGGTGAGAGACTCTCAGCACACAAAGACTCACAATGCAGCTGCTGTGCCTTGTTGTTATTTGACTTGTATATTGCCCCATGGTGCTAGAGTACTCTCTGGCACAACTTGTCCCAACTCCATGAGCTGAATACTCATTTTACTGAGCTCAGAAGGATGGAGACTGAGTCAACCCTGAGCCAGCAACCTGAACCTGTTAGGACTGAACTCGGGTCATGAACAGATGTTTGACCGCAGTGCTGCAGTTTAACTGCTGTGCCACAGGCTCTTCTCATTCAAAGCATAGACAAATATTTGTGAAAGGCCTATTTTAGTAAAGGAAGGAAGGAAGGAAAGGCAACGAGGATTCAAAGAAACTGAACTCAAGGAGTTGGAATTTTCTGCTTATGTATATCAGGAAGATCCCTCAAGACTCCTTATCTAACCTCCAGAAAAAACACTGCCAAATGGCCATCTGGACACTTTCTGATTGATATATTTTTAAAATGCATTCTTTTTAGCATTTCCAAGCCTGTGGTAGGAGCTGGAGGCTTCAGACGGGTTCCCAGATCTTCAGACCATGCTCACAGTTCACAAATCTCTTCCAATGTTGGTGTGTTGTTCAAATTCTTTCTCCATACCTCCCTGAACTCATTACACAATCAGGCATGTTCTCCCAAAAGCTATTGGGGTGGGGCTAGAACATCACAAATTTCACCCCATGAGTGCGACTCTAAAAGGTCCATGTAGGCAAAGGTACGAGTAGAATCTTCACACTATCAGAAGGTGGCAGGGATTGTCAGGCAGAATTTGTACATATATTGTAAGGGAAAGGCTGAGGATGGAGGGCATACTTGGTAGAAATAATAGAAGGACAAGCAACTTAAGATCTCAACCACCACTAATATTTTGTCCAGTCTTTCTTCTGGCAAGCTTTTGGCTAAGCCAGAATGAAATGCCACTGTTTGTGCTTGCATTCCTAGCCTTTAGTTGAAATAAATGCTTAAGAGAGCCATCTGCTGGAGAAATTTTAGAAAATACCATCAAGGCAAAAAAAAAGGGGGGGGGGGAAAGAAAAGAAAAGAAAAAAAAAGAAGAAAAGGAAAAAAATCTTAAAAAATTGAATGCTTAGCAGTGCACAACACTGTAAATTTTGTTAATATTAAATATTAATTTAGCCTTTCCACATTAAATGTAATCTATCAAAATTGGTAACTGAAACATTTAGGAATGTCCTTATCAATAAGAGAACAAATCATGAAAATTGTTCTTCGATAGTAAATACATGTGAAGGATGAGTCGTTATTAGTATTTCTTGTAGTTCTTTTGTAACATGATATTCTGTTGATTTAATGCTTCTTCCAATGGAACAGTGAAGTAGTTACAAATCATTTTTGCTATTTTACAGGCACAAAAAGTCACTATCGATGCAGAGCTACAACTGTAGTCTGTTGAATAGGTTACTTTGAAGAAAGAGATCTCACATCAGCAACTGACGGTGGATGAGAGAATAGAGAGAAACAGAGGGAATAAAAGTATGTCCTGGATTATGGAGGACAGCCTTAAGGTTGGCACATCGGCTCTGTTTTTCACTATAACCTTGAATCCACCAGCCAAAGCCTGGTACAAGAGACATATACTTAGAATGCACCCATGCTACACAGTAACACGAGTATGATACTGCATGAACTGCTAGGGTCCCCCTTGTGGAATCCTGAGATTTGTAGTTTGGTTGCTAAGACACTCAGAATCCTCTAGTGTTTCCCCTGTATTACGGCAGAAAATATTTCAAACTACAGACCACAGGGTTCTACAGGATGGAGTCCTGGCAATTAAAATGGAATCAAATGATTGCAATTTGGGGAATATAGGTGCTGGAGTAGGTTAGTTCAGGGTCCTGGAGACCAAATATAAGGCTCTATCTACTTCCTGAGCCTGGAAATGGTCATTTTCAGCAATTCATTTTTGGGAAAAAATGTTTAAATTAGGGAAGACTGCTACTTTTGGAGGCTTCTGTCTGGAAACCAATTTTAGTTAAACAAATAAGTGAATATTTTAAAAAGTTTCTCCTTTGGGGACTCCTGGGAGCCAGAGAATGCTACCATGCAGTGGATGTGGCCCCATAGGACACATTTTGCCCACTCCTGACGTAGTGTGTACTTGCACTACATAGGGATATCAGTTTGATACCATTTTAAGTGATATGTTTCCTTCTTATGGAATCTGCTGTTTTCAGTATGATGAAATACTTAGACTTTTCTAAGCACAGCTATCATAAACCTACATATCCCAGGTTTCCATAGGAGGAAGCCATGGCAATTAAAGTGCGGAAAAAAACCCCTGTAGTGGAGCAGATACATTCTTGAATGAAAGACAATTGAGTCAAGGAAACTAATTAGAAAAGCAGAACTGAATGGTGCTATCTGCTGTTTTCAGTATGATGAAATACTTAGACTTTTCTAAGCACAGCTATCATAAACCTACATATCCCAGGTTTCCATAGGAGGAAGCCATGGCAATTAAAGTGCGGAAAAAAACCCCTGTAGTGGAGCAGATACATTCTTGAATGAAAGACAATTGAGTCAAGGAAACTAATTAGAAAAGCAGAACTGAATGGTGCTCCCAGTCCACCCACGCACCAAACTAGCACAGCAGTCATTTTATAGTTACTGTTAAATACTTGGGAGTCTGAAATCCTTGTTAATCTATTTGCAGATGACTAAGAAATCTATCAGCAGCTGCCATCACTGTTTTATATTCCTATGATATGATAAGGAAAAGGAAGACAGGAGGATTCATATATTTTTAATGAATGGTTTGAAAACATTTTGATAAACTACCAACATTGTTGTCCTTTTGTGTTGTCCAGTTGTTCCCAATTTATGGTGAGCCCAATGGGATTTTGAGATATGTGAGAAATCCAAGGATTGGTTTGCCATTGCCAATCCTCGACTGAGTTTCCATAGGCAAGAAGGGATCTGAGCTCAGATCTCTTGAGTCCTAGTCCAACACTCTATCTGTTACAGCATAGTGGCTTTCAGGGAAAAAACCCACCAATAACATATGCCAAAAAAGGTTTCTCCCCCACTTACAAATGAAGTCATGGCAGTTAAAGGGCAGGGAAAAAAAACTGTAGTGGAGCAGATACATTCTTGAATCAAAGACAATTGAGTCAAGGAAACTAACCAGAAAAGCAGAACTGAATGGTGCTCCCAGTCCTAGTCCAGCACTCTATCTGCTACAGCATAGTGGCTTTCAGGGGGAAAAAACCCACCAATAACACACGCCAAAAAAGGTTTCTCCCCCACTTACAAAATACTATTATTATATTATTTCTACTTACCAATGCATTGTACTTCTACGTGTAATTAAGTGGAGGTCTTTCTCTCCTAAACAGGTTCTGCCCTGAATGAGCATTTCTGAAAATAACAGACCATGAGGAAAGGAGTCTTAACTTCTTTTGATTCACTTTGGCAGAGATGTAAAAGATAGCTCTTATGTGTGATGAAGTCCAGTTTGACAGATATGCTGGAAAAAGCAGGAAAATACAGTTTTCAGATTTCTTTGGTCTCTTTCGCTTACTTGATGGAATTGATTATATATACTGCTGACTTCTAGAAACCAAGTCATTTTTTTAATGTCAGAAACTGAGTACAAGGTTCAACAGACTATGTGAGTATGACGTGTTCCAGTTTGAACAGAATTATTGTTAGTTAAAGCTGATAACATATGCCAATTACTTTATTCAGACTTGGCTGAGTAAATATGATCTTTGTAAGCAAGCAGGGTTTTAATAAAGTTTATCTGAAACAGAATGGAGTATGCATTAACCTCAAGTTTCCATTAACTGTACCATCCACCCATTGTGGTGTCTTTCTGAGCAACAAATATATTTAAAGTAAACAAATATCTCTCTCTTTCTTCTTCCTCTCTAAAGAGATGTAGCGTTCCACATCCTTTATCCACAATTCATACAAACTGATAAGATTTCATTGATTTTAACAGACTGCACAAATAACATGACATTTATGTTAAAATTGTTAATTGCCATATTTGTTTTAAGTCACTTTGTTAATTTATAAATGAATCATGAAATCTCTTTTGTTTTGTGAGGTATAGTTTAAAAGTATGGTAGCACATGCATTTCTAGAAAATATTAAGAGTGAACTCTTTTTCAGTCATGAACATTTTGTTATACTTTTATTTCGAAACAAAATCTTCATGAAAATAGAATGTATATGTGCCTGTATTTAAATTATTGGAAACAACAGTTAAGTGGGATTATTGTGCCTTTTACAGTTGGAGAGCACAAAAGCAAAGCTGGAAAAAGTTATGGTTGTTGTGGGTTTTTTCGGGCTGTTTGGCCATGTTCTGAAGGTTGTTCTTCCTAACATTTCGCCAGTCTCTGTGGCCAGCATCTTCAGAGGACAGCACTCTGTACTCGGGTGTAGTTTGCTTCGGAGTTGAGTATTTATGGCTGTGAGATAGGCTTTTGTCCTTTTCAGGAGATGGGTGATTAGTGTGTCTAGTTGTGGGTGTCTTGTTGTGATAATGAGGAGAGATTATCTGTCACTGTGACTGATGGGTGTCATTAGCTGGTCTTTTGTGTGTAGTGATCCCTGGTCCTTGTGGCTGGGTAGAGTTCGTTGACCTTTTGCATGCTGTATTTTTGGGAGCTAGAAGCCAAGTTTTATTGAGTTTCAAACTTTCCTCTTTTTTGTTGAAGTTCTGCTGGTGCTTGTGGATTTCAATGGCTTCCCTGTGCAGTCTGGCATAATGATTACTGGTGTTGTCCATTATTTCAGTATTTTGAAATAGAATTTCATGTCCAGCTGGAAAAGTTACTTTTTCGCTAAGCTGCCACAATATCTCAGCCAGCAAGGCTATTCAGGTTCTGGGAATTTTATAAGAAGGAGCATTACCTTTTGAGAACAGCTGCCCAACAAACATAATGTAATAGCCAAGTGCTGCTTTATGGTTTAAATTTTTTAAAACTGCAACCTACATACCAGGGACAAGTAAATTGTGGGTTCCCAGATCTTGTTGAAGTGCCAATCGCAACATCCATCATCATTGGGCATATGGTGATCTGTAGGCCAACATTTCTCAACAGCGACAATTTGACTACACCTATTATGCATACTTATTATGGAGTAAGTTCCATTTGATGCAGCATGAACTTCTGGTTAACAGGTACAGGAACATAACTTATGTTAGGGAAGTGCACTGTCATCAGATAAATGTGCAAAACTGGACACCGTGAGAATAATTTGTATGGTTCTGGGAGCAACTACAGGATGGAAAAAGGAGCCACTATTCACATGCAGGGCAGAGCAGCATCATAATGAGCCCTTCATATCCCATTGGCATTGGTAGGCTTGAAAAGATGACCAGTGAGGAATGGGGAGATTGAAAATGAAATAGAATGACCCACTGGCACCAGAGGAGAAGATGAGTGACTGCTGAACACCTCAATAAAGTCTCCTCAAAATCTTTCTGGATATTTCAGCCACTGAGATGTGAGGGAGGACTGAGGCTCAGGTCATTGCTTGGCATTTCTCCCTTTCCTTGCAGCTGCTCTGCCAGTTTTGCAGACATATAGGCAAAGAGGCAGATTTGTGTTAGACACAAGCTTAGAAAGCGTGTTTTAATTCTGATTTTTTAAATTTGATTGAATTAATTAAAGCTGCTTCTAATAACCAAATCTTGGAGATGCTATCAATAATAGCTTTTAATATATCAGTTCTAGATTTTTATAGGTTTATTCATATTTATGGTTATAATTATTGTCTGTTGTATTGCTCTATTATTTTTGAATTGTATTTTTTTTTGTTATTGTGGGGTATTTAGGTTTCGTGAGTTTTAATCTTGTGTAAACTGCCAAGTGTACTGCTAGCACTAATGGGGCAGTACATAAATTGAATGAACAAAGGAGCAGGCGTGTGGACAAACAAACAAACAAAGTCTGGCCCACTAGTATGTAATATTAAGACATCTGTGATTAATAACCAATGTGGATATATTGTTAACATCACATTAATAAGGCCTGGGATATGAGCTGATGGTAAATGCATTTAAATGTGATAAAATTCATATGGAATGCTTCCCGACCTTATCTGTGACCCATCTCCTATATAAATGAACATAGATGAAAGGAATCCATATAGAGCTGGCAGCTGAATGCCAGCAGCAAGCACAACAGTTCTGTGGTGATACATGGTCTAAATGAAGTGCTTCCAACTTGCTGTAGACTATAGCCACAGGTTTCTGAGATAGACCAGTGGCTGTCCCCAAATATTTTGCCACTGAGGTAAAGGATAAAATGGTGTCCTTTCCCCCCATTGCAAGTGTGGTTGCTAGTTGGATTGACAATTTCAATTTAATTTAGTTATGATGCTGCTGCTGCTGCTGCTGCTG